CCATAGACCTCCATTATTTGAATGTCAGCAGACAGCAAGAAGCCTCCCAGATCTCCGGATGCATTTGAGATATCAAAAAAGTACTCCAGAGTGTTGTAGAAAATGAAGGCTAATCATGTTTTGGGTGTACTATTCCTTTAAAGGGGTATTATCATGACAGAAATGTGTGAAATACAAATAAAAAAATAAAAAGAAAGTAGTTTGAGCACATATTTTGTCATAAACCAAATGAATTTTACTAACTCAATAATAAATCAAATAAACGTTGCCCAATAACATAATTATACCTATCAATTTTAACTTTATCACGTTCTACACTATTCTATTTCTAGGGCTCTACATTTGAATATGGAAAATCAATAAAAGACACTTTGATTATTATTAAATTGCCATGCCGTTGAGGTTAACACACTTAAAAGGCTACTAAGCTTCGCTTTTACATGCATTTGTTTTTAATTCACCCACCCAAATGTTCATGTAAACTTTTTTAATAACTCTATAGTAAGTTAGAAATCAATCGCCTTACTGTGAAACCCTCTTATTGTTTGTTTTTAACCCTGGTGCAAGATTTTATTTATCTGGTTTAACTGAGGAACATTAAATGACATTTCTGCTCTATTCTAACATGTAAACATGTAATAAAAGGTAAAAATAAATAATCTCAATTGACTAAGGCAGTAAAAATGAATATATAAATATAGATCATGTCTAAAACAAGCCGTTCAGGAGCTGATATAGTCCTCTGACAGCAACCCAGGCTGTCAGTCCTATTAAAAGCTCCAGATGTTTTCCTTGAGATGACGAATTCTAGCAAGCAGACAGCGTGTTAGCATGAGGTAGCAGTGGGAAATATATGGCTAACATTAGCTCATTCTGTCTCCAGTTTTGAACTGTTTTCACTAAACTAAACTTCACTAAAAGAAAAGAAAAATGATGAAACGTTAAAAGTATTAAGTCTGGACGCCTCTAGGTCGCCAAAAGCTAACTCTTAGCCAGTGATACTAAGTAAAACCTGCTATTATTAGCGCCTCTTTCTACTTCCTGTCAGCTAGGACGAGCTTAAAAAGAGAAATGGAGCATTGCAACTGGCAGAATAAGGCATCCGTTTTCATCAAAGAAAGCTGAGCGTCAATTAACATACCTTTAAGATGAATGTGTAACCTTGTTTGTTAACAGAGAGCCAACTGTTTCTTTTCCTCCTCCAGTTGCTTCTGTGGTGCTTGGGGACGTTAGGCAGCTATCCGTGGGGCGCTGCTGCCACCTGGCGTTCAGCGGAGAGAACTGCTACAGCTCAAGACGCTTGTATTCAGACATCTTGACTGGCTAGAATTTCTGTTAAAATTATAGCCAGCCAAGGTCTAAATTTAGTTTTGTCATGTCAAACAATCATCAACTGTTTGGATAAACTTTTGTTTAATCTGAATTTTGATGCATCAAATTATTTTTCCACCTTTTATCTTTGGAAAAGTGCAAAATTCGAAAGATCTTGCCCAGAAATTATGCTTTTTTTCCCCAGCTTTTATTGTCATTACACTGTCACAAGTACAGAGCTACGAAATGAACTCTTTGCATTTAACCCATCCCTTAAGGGAGCAGTGGGCCGCAGTTGTGTGGCACCCGGGGAGTGGGACTCGAACTCAGACCCTCAGGATTCCAAGCTCTATGCCACTAGGCTGCCAATCCCCCCATTTTTGTTATATTTTGTTATATTAAGGCTGGACTATTGTAATTCTTTCTTATCAGGAAGACCGTAAATTGTGTTAAAAGCCTTCAGCTGATCCAAAATTCTGTAGCCAGAGTTCTAATGAAAATAAAAAAAGAGATTTAATTTTTCTCTCATTTTAGCTTTCCTTCATTGACTCCCTGTTAAATTCCGAATAGCATTTTAAATTCGCCTTCTCGCATATAAAGCCCTCAATAACCAAGCTCCTTCTTATATCAACAATCTGATCCTCCCCTATGTTCCTAACTGAGCACTTTGCTTTCAATCTGCAGGTTGACTTGTGGTTCCTAGAATTTCTAAAAGTAAAATGTGAGGTGCGAGATCCTTTACTTATTAGGCTCTTCCCCTGTGGAACCAACTACCAGTTTTGGTCTATGAGTCATACAATGTCTATTTTTAAGGCAAGGTTTAAAACTTTCCTTTTTGATAAAGCTTATAGTTATCTCTATAGTTATGCTGTTATAGGCTTAGACTTCCGGAGGACATAGGGACCACTTTACATCATTGTGCTTCATTCTATCTGGAATTTAGTATTTGTTTGTTCAACCCTAAATGTATGTTTTCTCTGCTTTTTCTGATCCTTCATCTGGTCCTGCTTAGCAGTGACACCACCCAGTAGGGAATATTTTCTAGTTTTTAATCCTGTTTTTCTCTTAGACATAGCTATGGGCTCAGCTTTTACTGTGACTAACGAGATGTGCTCTTCTTCATCCCGTTGACCAGTGGCTCATAGCTCATCTGTTTAAATGTTTCTTTGCAAGACAGAGCCATCTGTGGAACTGGTTTACTGTTACATTTCTAACACAGAAAGTATTAATATGTCATTCTTTCTATGTTCCTTTTGTATGTCTGCTTCTATCTCCTTGAACCCCAGTCAGTCTCAGCAGTGGACCGCTCACACTGGGCCTGGTTCCAGTTCTGCTGGAGGTTTCTTCCTGTTAAAAACGATTTTTTTCCTCTCCACTGTGTCTGCATGCATGCTTGGTGTTAGGGATTGCTGAAGAGTTAACTAGAAAATGTAAGTGAATATCTACTATGCTAATCCAAGAGCAACAAATCCTGTAAAGTCGATAACTGGATGGAATCAGCTGGTTTTCCTTAGATTTGAACCAATGCTTTATGAGAAGACACATGCTGTTAGTAGATATAAAAATAATGTAAATAAAAAATAAACAGCAGATAAAAATGACCGGGGAATTTCCCAGTGGGGCATGTGAAGAGTTGCACCAAATTCAGCATACAAGAGGCAATTTATAATTCTGCATATACACCTTAGCTTTATGGTGACAGGCAGAGCTTTTTAAAAGTAATATTTGCTACTTTACCATTTTCTGTGTCACAACTATGAGAAATCAGGATATATTTTATTGTGATTTTAATCGAAAGAACAACACAGAGAAGCTGTGCAGAAACTGTCCAATGGAATAAAAGGTGATATTTTAAGTTTAAGAAGTATGCAGTGTATGAGCGACTTTTGTTCCATTGTTGTTACAGGCAAAGAACATGTTTTTCTAAATTAACAATAATAAACAATAGTAAACTGTTTGCTTTAAGCCCAATTACGAAATCTTGTATATTATGACATAAGCTGTCTGATTTTTTATTTCTTAGGTGAAAACAATATGTTTCCTTACAATAGATGGTGTTGGTATGGTATCGGTATCGGCCAATACTGCACAGCCGGGTATCGCTGTCAGGGCCAAAAAATGGCATCGGTGCAACACTAAATTTAAAACTTTATTCTCATAATTTTACAACTTTATTCTTGTAATTTATTACTTTATTCTCATAATGTTATGACTTTGTTCTAGTAATTTTAGGACTATTGTCATTGCGACATTATTCTCATAATTTCACGACTTTATTCTCGAAATAGAAGGAAAAAAATCTCTAGCCTGGCCATAATACTCCGTCGTACAATATAAAGAAAAAAAACGGGGGAAAAAAATGAAAAACAAGTTTAAAAAAAAAATATCTGAAAAAATAAAACCAGAGAAAGTAAGAAAGTTACACAATAATTTTTTCTAAGTTTCATTGCATGTTTTTTCGCGAAATATTGATTCAAAAGTCTGTTTCCTTGCTTTCAATAATAATGTAGCAATATTACTTTATATAACTGAATACAAGCACAGGACAAACTTTTCTGATTTTGTTTGATTTTAGGCTATAATTTTCCCTAAATGTAACAATTTTGGGGCCATGGCCCACCTTAGCCAATTATTGGCCACCCCCTGTGGCCAGCCCCCACAATTTTTTTTGCCTTAGGCCCCGTCCACACGAAGTCAAAACGAACACGAAACGCTGATATTTTCCAAAACGTTTGCCGTAAAGACG